AGACCAAGATTACCAGTGTAGACATACCCTCAGATTCAAGCCCTGCCTACACTCTACATAGAAGGATCTTGAGTGACAGGGTTCCTACACGTTTGTCCCCAGACACAGGCAAAATATGGCACCACCTTTGTAGTGCAGATGGCCCTTAATATGTCTATGAGCTATCCTCAGGCCTTCAGGAGTCAAAGTTTCTATTGTGATTTGAGGACATAGCTAATGTGTCCTCTACATATCAGTACTAAATCATGCTTTAAATGCATCAAGAATGACAATTCTGTACTAAAGTCTCCAGTAGGGCTGTAGTTATATGGTAAGGTAAAGAATTTTCTGTTTTACTGGATGGTTAGCTACTTAGAAGAAACTGAAAATCCCAAAGTACCAGCATTTCATGGTTCTTGGGTAAACTTGGGCTAACTCCTTTGGGGATACTGAGCCTGCTTTGATTGTTCAAAAGATCTGAGAGCAAGACAAGGGTTTCTGGAGTTCAGTCTGGCTGACAGTGGGAAATCAAATCACCACCATCACCTCTCACACATTTAAAGTGGATTTGTTAAACTGTATTAACCTCTGGGTAAAGAATCCTATCGCAAATTAAAGTAGCCTGAATTTGATTTAGCTTAATTCACTTTTGAAGTGAAATCACCTAAGTAGAGTTAAGGCCACTTTCACTCCAAATAGAAGGGTCTACACACAGGCTAATTGCAGTTCAATAAATCTACATTATATTCACATCTTTAAGTAATTCAGATTGCCTTTCCTGAGCAGAAAAGTAGACCAGCCCTTACTTAGAAAAAGGCAACCCAAATTCAGATGATGATACCTTCCTTCTTTAGCGAAAGTGATGGGTCTGGTCATGATTGAATGAAGTGCTGAACAAGCTAGCCTGACTACACAGCCTCCATGCTACATCCCAGGACACTGCCACAAAGGAAACCCTGCACGCTGGATCTAGTCTAGGTGACAGATGGGAGACAATAGACAGAGGAGACAGATAAATGGGAGTGAGGATGAGATAATGATGGAGAAAACAGCTTTGCATTCAAGAAGTCTCAGCTCAGCACTTGCTCAGCCTACAGAGGTGTCACAGACATGGAGCACACCTGGCAGAGGGAAGGGATGAAAGAGGATGTGTGCAGATGGTTTGCTCTGTGTGCTTCCCCCCAAAAAATCGTGTGGCAGTAAAGGGGAATGGACAGGATGCAAGGACAGGAGCACTCACAGGGAGGGAAAGGGTTTATTTTCAAAATGGCTTCCTGTCTTTTCCCTTATCGGAGGCTCTGGCATGGTGACCTGGGTCTATCGGAGCAGGGGATTTCAAAGAACTGTCTGCAGATTCCATATCCTTCCAGAGGGGATTTTTCAGCTCATACGTCACTGACAATTTACTATAGTGATGCCAGAAAACTGACACAGACCCATAATATGTTAAGGACAGATACAGTATCAAGAGTGCTGGAGCCTGCATGTAGGATGAGAGCATATGCTTAGAACAAAGGACTGGAAGCGAAAAATAAAGTTGAGTTCTCTTCATAGCTGTCCTATGTTGGGACTTTAAGTAAATCATTTTACCTCTTGGCTTCAGTCTGCTTACCTGTAAAACAGCCTCATACAGCTATCTCATGAATAAATTCCAGGAAGGGGAATGTGTGCAACCAGTTTTCACTATGGGCTTTGTATCCAAGTGCTCACATAATTTCTATTCTGAGTAGGTCCTAAATAAAGTAAGTGAAAGGCTAAGGAAACACACAGAAGTTTTACTAGTTACTCTCTGTATTCTCTATTTCAGTTGCATTTGTCTGTGAACTGGACTGCTCTGTACTCATAGTAAGGCAACTTGATGGACTTTGTCCTAAGACCTGCATTCTGCTCCTTGTCCTGTCACTGACCAGTTGTGTGACCTTGGCCAAGTCATAACTACTGTATGCCTTAGCTTCCCCCTACAGAGGCTCAGAAAATAGCCATCTCTGTTACAGCAAAGTGCTGTGAGCTACCATGTTTGTTCACATACCACAGACCTTTTCCCTCAAAATTAGCCCTCCAACACTGAGATGTGTGTCTTCAGCAGAGAAGCTGTTTTTTTCTTCACTGGAATAGAAGAAGGGAGGAACAGAAGCATGCAGAAACTGTGCTCTAATGGCTGCCAAAATAGCTCCCACTTTTCTCTGGTCCAACAAGCAGAAGGGGCAGAGTCCAGTGTTAATCTTATAGCTGCTAAGGAATCTGCAGTAGCTATTTGGTGAGCTTCGTCACCTAAAGAAGCAATTGAGTTGGCTCAAGGCAAGTGAGCTGCTGTTTGCAGTGTGTAGTATCTCAATATAGCTTGTGGTATGGAAACAACTCTTTCTTAATTATAAGGACTTCGTTAAAGACATGTTACCAACAGTCTTACTACTGCCCTTGTAAGGGTCTGTGACCTAGTCTTGTTGCTGTCCTGATACACCAGAACATTTCCACTGCCATGCCCAAACAGTCTTCTGGGATGCCATGCTATCTAGACACTCTCTGTTTCCAGTAGGACTTACTCTATGTCATACAGCTAGTCATGACTTGGGGAAAAATCTTTTTTTCTGCATTTTGCCTTTCAAAAACTAAGGTGTGCATCTTATTAGGGAGGGGGCTGTGATATGTTCATTAGAGGCAGGTCCTGTCAGACCAACCTGGTGGCCTTCTATGACCAGGTCACAAAATCCTTAGATGCAGGTGTAGCAGTGGATGTAGTCTTTCTGGACTTCAGGAAAGCCTTCAACACTGTCTCTCACCCCATTCTCATTAAAAAACTAGGGGACTGTGGCATCGACATCTACACAGTCAAATAGGTTGCTAACTGGCTGGAGGGCCGCACCCAGAGAGTGGTGGTGGATGGGTCATTTTCGACCTGGAGGGATGTAGGCAGTGAGGTCCCCCAGGGCTCGGTCCTTGGGCCTGTGCTGTTCAACATCTTCATCAGTGATGTGGACGAGAGGGTAAAAAGCACCATGTTCAAATTCGCAGACATCACTAAGATGTGGGGGGAAGTGGGCACGCTAGAAGGGAGGAATAGGCTGCAATTGGACCTAGACAGGTTACAGGGGTGGGCGGATGAGAACAGGATGGGTTTCAACACTGACAAGTGCAGGGTACTGCACCTGGGGGGGAAGAACCAGCAGCATTCCTACAGGCTGGGGAACTCCCTTCTCATCAGTGCAGAGGCAGAAAAGGATCTTGGAGTCATTATTGATGGCAAAATGAACATGGGCTGACAGTGTGGGTACGCGGTCAGGAAGGCAAACCGCACTTTGACATGCATCCACAGATGCATCTCGAGCAGGTCCAAGGTCCTCCCCCTCTATGTGACACTGGTCAGGCTGCAGTTGGAGGACTGTGTCCAGTTCTGGGCACCGCCCTTCAGGAGGGATGTGGACAACATGGAGAGGGTCCAGAGGAGGACCACCTGCATGATCAGGGGGCAGCAGGGCAGGTCCTACGAGGAGAGGCTAAGGGACCTGAACCTGTTCAGCCTCCACAAGAGAAGGCTGAGAGGGGATCTAGTGGCCAGTTACAAACTGGTCAGAGGGGACCGGCAGGCACTGGGGGAGTCCCTGTTCCCCCGAGCACTCCCAGGAGTGACTAGAAATAACGGTCACAAGCTGGCAGAGGGGAGATTCAGACTAGACATCAGGAGACGCTACTTCACTGTCAGGGCGGCTAGGATCTGGAACCAACTTCCAAGAGAAGTGGTGCTGGCTCCTACCCTGGGGGGCTTTAAGAGGAGGTTAGATGAACACCTTGCTGGGGGCGTTTGACCCCAGTGCTCTTTCCTGCCGTGGCAGGGGGTCGGATTTGATGATCTATCAAGGTCCCTTCTGACCCTACAAACTATGAAACGAAACTATGAAACTATGTGAGAAAATAAAATATATGGAATGAGATCTTAGATAAGTAAATATCTACAATAAGTTCCATCTACATACACAACTGTATTAATAATATATGTTCAAATGAAAAACATGGTCAAAATGACCTTTAAAAAAAAAACTGAACATTTTCACAAAACATTTTTGGAAAAATTTTAGCCAGATTCACAGTGGTATCTCCCCTTTGTCCAATTGCTTTTTTTTTTCCCCAGTAGCTGAATGGAAAGAAAGGAAGAAAAGGAGAGGAAAGAAAAGCCAAGCAAAGCACCAAAATGAAAAGCTTTGAAACTTACTGTTTTCTAGAAATATGCTGATGAAAATACTCAAAAGAATGAAAGCAACAATTCTTGTTTTAAACCTATGGATTGAAAATAACCTCTGCACTCTCCATAGTTTATATGAATTTTCTTTTTCCATTTTTCACAAGCTCTCCTGATTTTCAGCCCCATAAGCTTTCACCCCAGTGCAAAGGAAACAAGGCAAGGCCTCACAGTTCCCCTTCAGCTCTGATGGCCTAAGGCATGCCTAGGGCTATGGACTAAAGCTCTGCATGAGGTAGAAAGGGTAATTTCCCAAAATCAAGCTCTTCCTATTTGGTGTGCATGCATTACATCATGTCATATGCAGGCCAGCTGACTTGTCACACACAGCTGTCCTGTTACAATGTTCACTCTGCATTTCAAGTCTGTCTGTGGCTTCCACTGCTTGGTAATGTGGTACGCAAACACAAGGTTCCAGGATTCTGGTTCACTTAATGGAGGACCAGAGTACATCTTGAGATCACCTCTGAGCTACTTGACTAAACTGTAGGAATGATTTTATTACCCACTCTAGAATATTATTACCCACCCATTGAAAGAGGATTTCCCTCTGGAGGCACCCAGACATCTCCCTGTTCCCATAAAGGGGATGCACATGCCCAGTGGGGTAATAGAATTGGTAACTCAGAGTTAGTCTCAAGCAGGTCATACACTGGGTAAAACAGGATTCTGCTTTAGATGTTTTTTCTTTTCTGTCCTGTATGTTTGGAAATAATAGGATACTATATTTGCATCGTGTGGGGTGAGGGAGGGAAAG